AAATTCTAGCAAACCCAAATCAATAGTACATTAAAATGAGTATTCACCATAAACAAGTGGTATATTGTACTGTTCATTATGCATGGACAGATTAATAAATGTGATATATCAGCAAAATGAAAAACAAAATCTATATAGTCATCTCAATTGATGAAAAAAGGCATTTTATAAGGTTCAATATTCCTGCATGATAAAAATGCTGAACAAATTAGGTATTCAAGGAATGTATCTCAACATAACAAAACCCATTCATACTAATCCAATAGCTACATTATATTGAATGAGAGAAAGTTGAAAGCTTTCTAAGATCTAGAAAAAGGCAAAGATGCCCATTTTCCTCACGTTTAGTCACCATAATGCTGGAATTCCTAGTCAAAGCAATTAGGCATGACAAAGAAATTAAGGGCATCCAAATTGAAAGAGAAGACAACTTGTCACTGTTTTCAGAAACATGATCTTGCATATAAAAACTGCAGACTCCACCAAGAAACTATTAGAACTAATAAATGAATTCAACAAAGCTTCAGGCTTTATATACAAAATTAGTATAAAAAAATCAGCATTGCTGTATGTCAACAGTGAATCATCTGAAATAGAGATCTAGAACACAATCGCATTTACATTAGCTGTAATAAATAGAATACCTAGTAATAAATTTAACTAAAGGCAAAAGATCTCTATAATTCAAAATACATTGATGGTGAAAAAAATTGAATGGGGTACAAAAGGTGGAATGGCATCCCATGCTCACAGATTGGAAAAATCAATGTTATTAAAATGTCTATGACCCCCCCAACACAAAGCAATCTACAGATTCGATACAATCCCTACCAAAACACAAATGACATTCTTCACAGAATTAGCAAAAAAAAAAATTCTAAAGCTCATAAAGAACCACACAAAAGCCTGAATAGCCAAAGCCACTTTTAGCAAAAAGAATACAGCAGGAGGCATTACACTACCTGATTTCAAACAGTACAAAGCTTTAGTAATCAAAACAACATGTTGGCATAAATACAGACACATAAGACAAATGGAACACACAAAGGTGCTAAAAACATAACACATTGGATAAAGTTCAGTCTGTTTAATAAATCTTGTTGGAATATTTGAATATTCATATGCAGAGAACGAAGCTAGACCCCTATCTCTCACCAGTTAAAAAGATCAATTCAAAATGGATTTCAGACTTAGATATAAGACCTGAAACTATGAAGCTAGGAGAAGAAAACATAGGGGAACTTCAGGACACTAGAAGGGGCAAGAACTTTTTGTAACAACACCCAAAAAATATAGGAAAGAAAAGGAAAAAAATAACAAATGGAATTATATAAAACAACAGTTTCTGCTCTTAAGAAGAGAAACACTTCACAGAGTGCAGGAACAACCTACAGAATGGGAAAAAATATTTGTAATGTATACATCTTAAAAGAATATATACAGAACTCCAAAATCTCAATAGCTAAAAACCAAATAACCTGATTAGAAAATGGACAATATATCTAAATATGTATTTGTCAAAAGATGACATAGGAAATGCTTACCATCACTAATTATTAGGGAAATGCAACTCAGAACCACAATGAGACATCACTCACCCCAGTCAGCATAGCTATTATCAAAGAGATAAGCTCTGGCAAGGATTTGGAGAAAAGAGAATCATGTACACTGTTAGTGGGAATACAGCTTAGTAGAGCCATTGTGGAAGACAGTATGGAATTTCCTCTAAAACCGAAAAAGAGAACTACCAGCATTTCCATCATGGAAATAAAATCAGTATGTCAGAGACATCTGTACTCCCATGCTCATTGCAGCACTAATAACTATAGGCAAGAAACGGAAACAACTTAAGTGCCTAACAACTGATGGATGGATAAAGAAAATGTGATACATATACACATACTCAGCCATAAAAGATAATGAAATCCTGTCATTTGAGACTACATGGATGGCTCTCGAGACATTATGTTAAGTGAAATAAGTTAGTCACAGAAGATAAGTACTGCATGATCTACTCATATGTAGAATCCATAAATGATCTCATAGAGGTTGATAGTAGAATGGTAGTTGCTGGAGGGCAGGGACAGTAAAAGGATGAGAAATGAAGAAAAGTCCATCAGTGGGCTCTAAGTTACAGTTGGATTGGAGCAAGAAACTATGGAGTACTATTACACAGTATGGTGACTATAGATAATAGTTATTACTGTGTCTTTCCAAAAGCTAGAGAAGAGTTTGGAATGAAGAAATGTTAAATGTTTTACAGGATAAATATGTTTAGCCTCATTTAAACATTTTCAGTGTGTACATGTGTGCCAAGCATTACATAATACTCCTGTTAACATCTACAACTTTTATGTTTTTGCATATCACTAAATGTTTTTTAAATCTAAAATAATAAATACTTAAGAACAAATGTAACTAGAAAAATTCAAAACATATTTGAAATTTATATTTGAAATAAATTAAGAATTAATTTAGGGAGAGACACCCTATGTTTGTGGATTTAAAGAGTTTAATATTGTTAAGATGGCAATACTACTCAAAGCAATGTGCAGATTCAATAAAATCTCTAGCAAAATCCCAACTTGCATCTTCCTAGAAACTGAAAAGATGATTCTAAAATTCATACAGAATAGCAGAGGTCTCAGAATAGGCAAAATAATCTTGAAAGTGTAGACAAGGTTGATGGATTCATACTTCCCTGTTTCAAAACTTATTACAAAACTACTATAGTCAAGACTGCATGGTGCTAGTGCCATAGAACAATGCAATAGAACTGAGAGTCCAGAAACATACACTAACATTTATGATTAATTGACTTCTCAAACAGTCCCCAAAAATTTTAATGGAAATAAAAATTATCTTTTCACCAAATGGTGCATGTGGACAAATGCAAAATAATTAACTTTGAACCATACCACACACCAAGTCTAAAAATTGACTCAAAAAGAATAAAGGATCTAAAAGTAGCATCTTAAAACTATAGTGCTCTGAGAATAAAATGTACATTTATATCTTTACAACCGTGAATTAGGCAACAATTTCTTATATGATATCTAAAACACAATCCGCAAAGGAAAAATACATAAATTTAATGAAGAAGAACGAAATGTTATCATTCGCTGGTAAATGGATGGAATTGGAGAACATCATTCTGAGTGAGGTTAGCCTGGCCCAAAAGACCAAAAATCATATGTTCTCCCTCATATGTGGACATTAGATCAAGGGCAAACACAACAAGGGGATTGGACTTTGATCACATGATAAAAGCGAGAGCACACAAGGGAGGGGTGAGGATAGGTAAGACACCTAAAAAATTAGCTAGCATTTGTTGCCCTTAACGCAGAGAAACTAAAGCAGATACCTTAAAAGCAACTGAGGCCAATAGGAAAAGGGGACCAGGAACTACAGAAAAGGGTAGATCAAAAAGAATTAACCTAGAAGGTAACACCCACGCACAGGAAATCAATGTGAATCAATGCCCTGTATAGCTATCCTTATCTCAACCAGCAAAAACCCTTGTTCCTTTCTATTATGGCTTTTACTCTCTCTACAACAAAATTAGAAATAAGGGCAAAATAGTTTCTGCTGGGTATTGAGGGGGTGGGGGGAAGAGGGAGGGGGCGGAGTGGGTGGTAAGGGAGGGGGTGGGGGCAGGGGGGTGAAATGACCCAAGCGTTGTATGCACATATGAATAATAAAATAAATAAATAAATAAATAAATAATTAAAAGGTTGTTTGCACCAAAGAACAGTATCAGAAAGTAAAAATACAACCCACCGAAGATGATAAAATATCTGAAAATAGCTAATCTGATAAGGTCTGCTATCCAGATCATATGGAGGACACTTAAAATTCAACACAAAAAAAGACAAACCAGCCTGAAAATTTGTAGGAAATATCTGAACACCTGCTTCTCCAAAAAAGGTATGCAAATGACCAACACACACTTTAAAACATGCTCAACATCATGAGTCTTTAAGGAATGCCAATAAAAACTATATTGAGACTACTTAACACAAAAATGCCTTTAATCAATGAAATGCAAGATAACCTCATCAATTTACTAGTGGGACTGTAAAAGGAAGCAGTTACCATAAAAACATTTTCAAAGCTCCTCAAACAAAATGTTAAATGTAGAGTTATAATATGATCCAATAATCCCACCATAACCAATGAAAGAATGGGTATCAAAAGTGGGTATTTAAATGTTCATAGCTGCATTATGTGTAATGGATAAAAAAGTGGAAACAACTCAAATGTCCTTTAGCTGATGAGTACATTAATAAATGCGGTGTATAGATACAGTGAAATATTATCCAGTCATAAAAATATGATCCTGATACGTGCTATGACATGAATGAACCTTAAAAACATTGTGAAAGAAGTCAGTCACACAGTCACATTGTTTGATTCCATTTATACAAAGTGTCCAGAATAAGCAAGTCTATAGAAACTGAAATCAGAGTAGAGGTTGCCAGGGTCTGTGAGAATTGGCAGACTGGGAGTGATCTCTAATAGTTAAGGAGCTTCTTTTTGAGGGGATAAAAATATTTTGGAATTAGATATATGGGGTGGTTGTACAACCTTATGAATATACTAGAAACTACTATACCTTCAAATAGCAAATGTGATATGTGTCTTATGTTTTAATTTTTAAACAGTTGGAAAATTTTTGTTTTTGAATTTCCATGTTATTTTATTGACAGTCTTGAAAATCAGTATATATTAAGCTACTTTATTCTTTTGAACACCTCTATTTTTCTGCTGTGATTTTTACTGAACATGAATGTCAGTGACAGATGGTTTTGTTTCCACAAGATCTTTCTTCATCATTATAATGGTGCTCATCCTGACCATGTGTCCCAGCAAATGAGTAGCAAGTGTTAAGCGGTGCCACTTTCTGATTAATGCTTCTGTCCTGTGGTAGTAATGGGTTTCTAATCAGTGCTTCTGTCCCATAGTAGTAATGGAGATCACCTGTTCTTCTCCCACCACAGGTGCCTTGAGGACAATGAATGGAACTACACCAGAGCAGGTCAGATCTTCACTACGCTCCAGGTGAGGTCTGGGAATCAAGTGGGTGAAAGATGGGTGTCTCTGGGGCTTTGGGAAAATGGAAGCCGGGTGGGCTGGGGATGGAACTCGGGGCAACCGGCTCTTCTCACATCCCAATTCCTTCCCTCCAGACTGAGGGCAAGATCCCAGAGGAGGCCTTCACAAAAATGCCCTAAGAGGAGCCCTTGGATGTCGTCTTCCTCTTCATCCACATCATCGTTTCTCTGAAATGAACCTAAGGCCATGCCCATGACTGGGGTTGGAGGCTGGGCTGACCAAGAATCCAAAGTTAACTTGTAGGCCATGTAACATAGCCACCCAAAGGGCCAATTGTTCTCTGTATTTTCCCCCCACTGAAGATGCCTGTTTATTGTTATAATAAAGAGTGACATTGCAGATTGCATATTGTGTCCTGGATTGCTCTTATCCTGCCCCAGCCATAAGCCAGCAAGACTAGGACTGAAAGCCCTGCACACCTCTACACCCACCCCATTAATGCCTGGCTGTAAGCAGGTCCATCAGGCTTGCCTTCATGGCTACTTTGTGAATAAATTCTGGTGAGAAAGGATACATGATTAGCCTTTGGAGACCATGTGACTCTGCTGGATGCTCTGTCTAGAGGCCTGCAGAAGCAAGTGTGTGACCTGGCACAAGAGGGGTCTCCCAAGGGATGACTGCTGGCTAGTGAGTGCTGTGGGAGAGAGAGCAAAGGTGGGGGGAGCTCACATATTTTATTTCTCATTCCTAATTATTTGAACATTTTCATAGACCCTACCATGATCCTTTTGTGATTTACACACAGTTTGGTGGAAAATGGGCCTTTTCACAGATGTCTCCATGCTTCCACCCGTCTTTCTAACCACCATCCCATCCCTCCCCTTCTTCAGTGTTCAATGTGCTATGCAGGAAACACTGGCCAGGAGAGAGGGATTCAGCCCATCTGACCCATGCATCCTTCACAGAGCTGACATCAGGTGCTCCATGTGCATGTTCTTGAGGGGCTTCAGTCACCTATTTTCACTTCCAAACAACAACAGTAGTAGCCAAATGAGTCGTGTTGTCCTATACTTGTTGGTAATTAAAAGAAGAGACATGAATGTCAATAGACATGTATAATTGCTCAACCACACCAAAATTAAAGAAATGTAGTTGAGCCAGGCATGTAGGCTCACATCTGTGATCCTAGCTACTCAGGAAGGGTGACTAGGAGGATCATAGTCCAGGCTGACTGTGGTCAAAAAATGTGAGACCCTATCTGAAAAATAACTAAAACAGGAAGGGTTAGGGATGTGGTTGAAGTGGTATAGTGCTTGCCTACCAAGTACAAGACCCTGAGTTCAAACCCCAGTACTACCAAAAAAAAAAGAAACATAATTGAAAGTACCAAGATACATATAAAATAAGCAAGGTACAGTAAGTGCATAATGTAAGACATGATCTGATATTTGAAAAGCACATTTTCAGAAAAATGTAAATATCATATTTTAAAATATAAACAAGCATGCACAAACATATTTGCAGAATGTTTCCACATCAATTGAGTGGTTATATTGAGGCAGAACGAAATAAAAGAGGATATACAGTCCAATGCTTCTTTCAGTTTCTCCAGAATTAAAGGGATGGAGGAACATGTATACTGATTTTTAACTAATAAAATCAGTAAGATAAAAACTATGACCACATAGGACAAACTTAATTGTGGTTTGATTTATAAAACTAATGCTACGAAAATATATTTTGGACATTAACAGTTGTTAAATATAACATGAAAAGGATGTTACATATAGCTTCACAGTTATAATCACACATGTGCCCTTTTCTACATATAATCTGAGAAAGGGACCAAAGGAAACATCCTGTCACATGATTTAATGTCTGTCGAATCTGTCTGCATCAACACTTAGTGCTTCCTTTGCCATATAACTTCCAGAAAGATTCCCCTGTGGACTTCCACAAAGGAAGTCCTTTCTTCTACCTTCCTAAGTTTCTTGCTAAAAGTGATAATCAAGACGGGCACGGTGGTTCACATTTATAATCCTAGCTACTCAGGAGGTAGAAACTAGGAGGATCTCAGTCAGAGGCCAGCTGTAAGGAAAATGGAAGATCCTATCTGAAAAATAAAGCAAAACTGGAAATAGCCAAGGCAATACTGAGCAAAAAGAGCAACACTGGAGATACCACAATACCCAGATTCAAACTGTACTACAGAGCCATAGCAATAAAAACAGCATGGTACTGGCACAAAAACAGACATTAAGACCAAAACAACAGAATAGAAGACCCAGATGTGAATCCACACAGCTACACACACCTGATTTTTGACAAAGGAGCCCAAAACATATGATGGAGAAAAGACAGCCTCTTCAACACCTTTGCTGGGAAAACTGGATATCTGCCTGCAGAAAACTGAAAGTAAATCCATGTCTTTCACCCTGCACAAGTATCAACTCAAAGTGGATTAAAGACCTTAGTATAAGACCTGAAACTTTAAAGCTAATTCAGTAAAGAGCAGGGAATACACTGGAAGCAATAGGCATAGGCAATGACTTCCTCAGCAGAACTCAAAGGGCTCAGCAACTAAGAGAAAGGACTGACAAAAGAGACTCCATGAAACTAAAAAGGCTCTGCACAACAAAAGAAATGGTCTCTAAGTTGAAGTGGCTTCCCACAGAATGGGAGAAAATCTTTGTTAGCTATACATCTGACAAGGGATTAATAACCAGAACTTTCAGGAAGCTCAAAAAACTAAACTCCCCCAAAACCAATGACCCAATGAAGAAATGAGCAAATGAACTGAACAGAGCTTTTTCAAAGGAAGAAGTCCAAATGACAAAAAAAAAAACCATGAAAAAATGCTCCCCATCCCCGGCCATAAAGGAAATACAAATCAAAACCACATTAACACTTCACCTCACTCCTGTTAGAATGGCTATGATCAAGAACACAAACAGGAGATCCAAGATGGCAGATATTTTTAGCCAACTAAATTACCACAACATGTAGGGTGCATATAAAGTTCAATGACCAACCCTTAAAACAATTTTTAATTGCACATAACAACCAGGGAAGTGACCAGCACAGCCACTCTAGCCACTGGTCTGCCTCAGGAAAAACCACTGGCCATTTTTCTTTTTCTTCTTTTTTTTCCCTTTTCTTTCTTTTTCTTGAAAGAAGCACAGGATTGCAGAAAAATCTGAACTTGACTCTGCAACATACTGGACCTGTATCACATGGACACACCCTACCTTTACCCCACCAGAGTGAATCTACTACACCAACAAGTGAGCACCACAGATTTCCTGCCCTTGAGGGAACCACATAATCCAGTGCAGCTGGTGGGCAGATTGCAACCCTCCCTGAACAAAACTGAATGCCATAGATGGAGAACAGAATTCACCTCTACCTGGCAGGGGTGAGGCAAAACATGGATCCGACCTCCCAGAGCAAAGACAGGGCAAAACACTGAGCTTAACTCAAGGGATTGTGGGAAGTGTGCAATGCTGAGTTGCCTTACCTTATTGGGGGAGGGACTGACCTGCCAGAGTCAAAGCAGTAGCCAAATGACACAGCTGCCACCTGGTGAAAACAGAAACATATCTGACCACCTTGGAGAATTTGGTAGTGAGATGAAAAGTGAGCAATCATCGAACTAAATTGCAACTTGCCCTATGAGCAGAAGGGATCAGCAACTGCCCACAAACCAGCCTACTGGATGGACCACTTCAGAGATACTACCTGCATCACACAACCCAACACACCAAGGAAGTACTGGGTTCAAACACTGTGATCCAACTTCCCCCTAAAGCTGTCCAACAAGAAGGGTTACATCCATCACCACACAGCCTAGCATATCAACCTTAAGAAGAATCAGGGACACTGAAAAAACCCCTATAAAAAGCACCAGTACCTGGATTTGAAGTCAAAGGAAAAAGTCCAGCGCTTTCAGTGAAATTATTTTTAAAATTTTTCCCTTTTTTTATTTAGTATTTTTAATTTTATTAATACTATTCTCTTTTCTTTATTCTTACTCTCTTCATTTTCTCTCCCTTTTTGTGATACAATCCAGTTATCTATCTCCCTCATCTCTGTCCAGATATCAATCTGCTTAGACCTCTCTTGCCCCACTTTCCTCTCTCTTTCCCAACTATTTTTTCTGCCCTTTTCTTCTATTCACCCCTCTTTTCTCCACCTTCTCCTCCTTACATCCCCCTACCTATCACCCCACTGCCCCTACCTCCTCCACACCCACTACTTGCTGAACAGTCTACTATACCAACTCTACACATTACCCCCATTCGTCCTATTTCTCTGCGATCCCTTACAAAAGCACCCTCCACCACAACAACCAAACTGCAACTTAACACACATTAGGGCCCTATTACCCTTTAGCCCCCGCATCTCACACCCCTTCCCCCCCAACACCATCTTTTTAATTACCTAAGTATCTATCATTATCCAGACAATGATATGTTGGATATCATTGGAATTGGGAAATTCCCCCAATTCCAACTGTTTATAGATAATACCACCAAGGGGTTCTCTATAAATCATGTAAGTAACTGGTCTGGCATTAAATTTGTGAATTTGTTATTGCTAAATTTTACCTCCAGGTCAGGGAATAGAACTAGCACATCTGCCTGGCTAATGACTAAGCCAGTCACAGCACAGTCAAGGGAAAGATAACAGGTGATTAAAACACCTGACTAGCCAATTAATAACACAGGAGCAAAGCACAAAATAGAAACATGAGGAGAAGAAGAAGGTAAGGGATTACAGCCTCTCAAAAGCCTAACGATAACTCAATATAGGATTTAGTAGAAAATGAAGGAAATGAATACACACTTGCTGACCACAGTAGAATGATGATAAGTATGTCCAGTGAGCTTAATGAGGACCTCTAAGAGATGCTCAAAGAGGAAAGGGAGCTCAAAGAGGAACTAATGGTGGAGCTTAAACAGAAGCTTAAAGAGAACATAAAAAAAACAACTCAAAGAATATCAAGACAACACAAATAAAAAACTGAGAAGACACAGAAACAGCCAAATGAACTCAGATAGGATGTCAATAAACTCCAAAATGAAACTAAGGAGACTATAAAAAAAGAGAAACATTAAAATAAAGGAGGAGTTAAAGATATGGAAAACCTCAGAAAAAATAATCCAACAGAAATCCTGGA